GACCTGAATTTAAAGATTAGGTTATGACGTGGTGTATATGAAATGATCACAGATTCAATTATTACGAAGCTAATTTTCAATTTATTTAATATATCTGCGTTAAATAAATATTAAAGCTCATAAGATATAATATCCAAAATCAATTCAATTTTTTCTAATGGATTTGTTAAATTTTTATTAGAGAAATTTTACCTTCTTTATTATTATCTATTAAGCGTCTTGTATGAATGGGTTTCTAAACTGCTTAATAATCAGGGTTATATAAAGAGCTTCTTGCGAAGCGATTTAAAATTTTACAATATATTTGGAGATAATCAGAGTGACCTAATTATTATATTTACTGATACATCAGCATCTTTAATCTTCAGAATAGTTTTCTAAATAACTTTCTCTGAATTCTTCTCCAATTTGATTAAGATGTAACAGTATATTTGATACAAAAATTATTACAAAATAATTTAAGCATTTTAAAGGAAAAAAAAATTTTGTTTAACATTTAATTTACTTATTAGTAAGAACATTCAACATTATGTGACTCCTGAAATAAATTTCTATGGGCAAACTCAAATAATCCATTTTTTATTTCATAGTGGAGGTAAGAATTTCCTTATAAGAAAATCATACTAAAAATTTTTTAATCATTATGACCATCTAATTTGGCATTATATTATCGTGTTTTACTATCCCATAAACGAATTGACTTATCATCACTACCTGAAAATAAAGTAGTTCCATCTGGTGAGAAACACACTGAAGTAATGAAACTAGTATGACCATCTAATTTGGCTTTTTATTATCGTGTTTTAAAATCCCATAAATGGATTGAGTTATTCCAACTACCTGAAGCTAAAGTAGTTCCATCTGGCGAGAAACATATTGAATAAACAGCATCATTATTACCATTCAATTTGGCTTCTTATTATCCTGTTTTAACATCCCATAGACGAATTTATCATAACTACCTGAAATTAAAGTAGTTCCATCTGGCGAGAAGCATACGGAATAAACATATCTAGTATGACCATCTAATTTGTCTTTTTATTTTCCTGTCTTAACATTACATAATCTGATTGAGTTATCCCAACTACCTGATGCTAAAGTATTTCCATCTGGTGAGAAGCATACTGAATAGACAGTTCCACTATGGCCATCAAATTTCGCTTTTTACTATTCTGTCTTAACATCCCATAAACGGATTGACTTACTACCTGAAGCTAACGTAGTTCCATCTGGTGAGAAGCATAAAGAACATACCGTTTCATTGTAAATAAATTTGACTTTTGATTTTCCTGTCTTAACATCCCATAAACGGATTGAGTTTCCATAACTGCATGATGCTGAAGAAGTTCCATCTGGTGAGAAGCATACTGAGTAAACATATTTATTCTGGCCATCTATTTTATTAAGTTCTTGTATTTTAATGCCCTTCCACTTATAATTCAATAATAGAGCACCATTTAAGTTCACTCCACCAATGTCTACATTCTCGAATTCTGATCCGCTAAAATTACATTTGACAAAATTTGCACCTATCAAACTAGTATTTTAATTCTAATATCTTCAAAGTTTTGGTTAGTAAGATCAACCTTCATTTGCACTAATAAATAAAGTGCATTTGATCCACATTGAATAAATTATTCATCTAAAGCTGTCAGTTGCATTAAAAATTTTAACAATTCTACTATTTTATCAATTTTTTATATTTTTTTCATTAGATCTTTTCTAAATTCTTCATAAAGATCTTCACAATAATTTTTGTTTTTAATGTCATGATCTTTAAGTTGTTTCAAAATCTTCACCACTATCTTCATTTTATTTTTCGCCAACTCTTCTTTATTCACATTTGTTTTAGGCACTGCTTTTTAAATGGTTTATAAACAACTTGAGAGATTTTCCTCATCTGAAAGATATTTTAAACAATCTGAAACATTTTCTTTTTTCAATATTTTAATTGTCGCCTTGTAAATTGTTTATTCCACCAATTTTGATAAAGCTAACAAATCTTCTTTTTATTCCATTCCTTTATTTTTTTTTTAAATAATAGTTGAATTTCTATAATTTTTATATTATTTTTATATTATGAATCGAAAGTATCTTATGCATTAAAACTAAGACAAAAACAAAATGTTATTTAAATTAAGATTTGATTGTAATAGAGGTAAAATTAACAATTTTTAAATCATATAAACTAATGCTTAGCTTGAATCTTTAAGAATATAGAATATATAAAACAATATATAATATATCAATATTATGAAAAGAACTTAAAATGCATAACATTTTATTTTAGTAAAATAAAATATTTTAATTAAATAATTTATTGGGAGAAAAAACTTTTTTTGTTTCTTTAACAAATGATCTTTAACAACCTAGAAGAGAATGGTAAAAATGAACTTGAAAGAGTAATTATGGCTTTCTTTAATAATATTTAATATATATTGAATTTCTATTACTTTTATATAAAGTTTATAAACTCTAATATTTATGTTAAGATTTTGAGTATCATTATCTCATATGAAATTACTTTGGCTTCAGGTAGTGATGATCAATCAATCCGTTTATGGGATGTCAAACAGGATGGTAAAAAGCAAATTTGATGGTCATATGAATATTCTATAATCAGTATGCTTCTCACCAGACGGAACTACTTTAGCTTGAGGTATCAAAATGATATGACACATGTAATTGTGTACTTATATTAATAATTAGTATTACCATTTATTAGTAGTTATTATAAAAAGATGCAATTTCTATCTCTCCTGCATATTGATTAGATACTCCAATATTTTCAAAACAATATTTTTTTATTTTTTTTTCATATTGTTCAAAATTGTAATTATTTATTAACTTATTTATCTCATTATTATATAACACAATAATTTCTCCATTATATAAACTACTACTAAAACAGTCTTTATTATTATCTATTAGTGCAAAAAAGAATACAAAACAAGATTTAATACATTATAAAAAGATAATGAGGATAAAAAGACTAGAAGAACTTCCCGATTTTGAAAGAGAAGAAATTTAATATAATAGATAAGATGAAAAAAAAAGAAATCAGAACGTGAAGAACTTTCACAACGTACCTTACAAAAGATGATGATAATAATACAAAGTTTGATGGTGAATATTTTGATGATACAGAAGTACCATCATAAACTAGTAGAGAAATAATAGAAGTAGTAGTAGAAGTATAGCAGTGCTAAGAAAAGAACAAATAAAGAATATGCATGAAGTATTTAAGTATATACTATTAACAAGAGAAATACTTCTAAAGATTATGTATAGAAAAGTAATGAAAAAGATATTTATTTACTTCTTTTTTTATCTAAATTTCTTGCAACTGTCATCCATTTATTTTTAATCATTCCATTACTAACAACTTCATATTTACTTCCTTCATGTATATTTCCAATTTTATATATTACATATTGCATTTTCATTTGTTAATCTTATCTTAATATTTAGAGCGATAGTAATAATATAATAGTAAAATAAGATATAATGATTATTGTGAAAATAATACAATAGTTATTAGTGATCAGAAGCTATAAGATTATTATCCATATTAATGAAGAGCAAAATGTTTGAATTATTTGGTAATTGCTTACCATAATTAATTACAATATAATATCTATTTTTAATGATAAACAAGAAAGGGATATGTATTTTTATGGAAATCATATTGGAAAAAATATTTAACCTTTAAGAAAAGTTTAAAATTTGTAAATTGAACTTTCAATTAAAAAAGGTTGTAAGTATGAAATATACTCCATTTCAGAGAAGAGTTTACATAAATAACTCGAATTTCCATAAAGTATTTAGATTTAGAATTATCACCTCATCATCTAAGTGAATAAGATAAATAAAGGTATTAATAAGAAACCAGATGAATTAATTTGAAATGTTGTAAAAAAGTTAAGCAATATATGTTTAATCAAATCAACAGTCTAACTATTTGGATTAATTTTAAGACTATTGTTGGTATTGTTCAATCTTTTCACTTAGTAATGTTATTGTAGAAGAAGTTTAGACTATAAAAATCACTTTCGGTCATTGAAACTTCTTTAATTATTTTATTCATTGGCATATAATATTAGTATAATTTAAATTTATAATTTTGTTCAGATAATCCAGTAGTGCAGATTTTGATTTTATGATTGAATATTCTGATATTCCTTAAAAAAATACTCGAATTTCGAAGCATTAAGAAAAAACAACAATATATTGGCGATCAAGCATTTAAATTTCAATTGAAAATTCTGCTAATTTCTCACCTATTGCTGGCGCTGTAACTAATTGATTAGCATTTTAGTAAATTGAAGTTTATGAACGTAAATTCTTATCATAATTTCTTCAGATCATTCGACAATTAGTAAACAACTTATATGCACTAAAAACTGATGAACAAGAAAATACTGGGATCAATAATTTAAGTGAAGGATGTTCATATAAAGTTTTAATCTAAAAATCAGGTAAAAACATAATAACATTATATAAAGGGTTTAAGAAATCAAGTTCTAGACTTGATCTTTAAAGAAGAGTACCGAAACAAAATATATATTTTTCAGGTTAACAGAGAGCATACCTAAATATTCATTCCGAATATTTTTAAATAAACATCAAGGATTCTCAATCTTGATTTTATAGTAGGTTTAAAGTAGAGAACATTCTTGTATAACTGGAGCTCTTTATAAATCATGGGGACAAATGTAACTATCAACTATATCTAAAAATTATTAAAACAGTGAAGTGATTTACATTTATCAATTAGAACCATAAATACTCACAAAATGTGAGAAAAGAACTAGGAAGAAAGCCTTAGATCTTTTAAAGAATTCTTGATTAGTTAATAATGGATTGACGCTTATCCTCATATTATCGTATATTTAAGTGATTTAAACTACCCTTTAATAGATCTAACTTTGTAAATTGATGGTCAATAATCAGATGCTCCATAAACTATACAAAAGACGGAATCTCAAATTATAAATGAAGAAAATGTCAGGATGTGTTGTGCTCGAATGGATCCAGGTTATAAAATCAATAAATTAAAATAAGCATATAAAGATTTATCTGGTCATATGAAATAATTGATGATGTTCTAATATTCCTTTTCGATTTTTAACAGTTGTGGTGGAATTGGAGATAAAATTTATATTTGAAGCAGATGATTGCATATTAGAAGAATTAAATATTGATGATAATAAATATAGAAGAGTAATAATTAAAAATTAATTTAAAGTGAAGCCAAAATTATCAACAATAAATAAAATACTTCATATCTAGATTTTGAAGAATATGTTGTTATTGTTGCAGGATTTGCATTTCATAAAGCTAAAGATATGCTTATTAGGGATAGGTATTGGTTTATGAATAGATTTATCAATCATCATTTTGATTTCAAGGTTACTAATATTGAATTAAGTGAAGATATTGTAAATTTTGCCTTCTTTTATTTCAAAAATACAGATACAGAAACTTTAGTATGTTATATTACACTGATTATATAGATTAAACACTAGAATGTCTTAATATTACGCTGTCATTTTTGATATAAACGGTAATTTTTTTAAAATTTATTTATAGCATCTAAAGCTAATTAATTGCCACTACCTAAATAGTTCTTGTCTGCTAAAACTGGGAAATACAAGAGTAGCTTTTGAACTTGCTTTGGTTATAATTTCTTAACATGCTGAACCTGTTCCATTACATGAAGGATTACATTCAGCTTTTATAAATGATGTTACATGACTTTCACCGTTAGTACAAGTTTTTGATCTACATCCTGTGTTAGAAACTATTAACAGTACAATAAAATAACCAATTATCATATGATTCATGAGTAAAATATGAAATAGAAGCTCTATGATGATAGCAAGTTTTCATTTATAAACCACTGAAGCTGAATTACTAAGTATGTAGTTAGGATGAACAAGTTTTGTTTGTGCAATATGATCCACTCTAATATGTATATTAATATTAATATTAATATTAAATAACTATTTATTGTACATTATTCAAGATAACTATTTTAAGTAGGAATAGTAGTAAATACTCCTGATGTACAATCTTTAGTTGACTAACAAGCAGTTCCATTATATCTGAAAACCATGATTAACAATTAGAATTATTAAAAGTAGTTATTTATTAACCATAATTTGTACATGTTTTAGTTTCACAACCAAATTTATCCCAACTAAATGTGCAAGATAATAACCAAGAATTATAAGTATCATGAGTAAAAAATATAATATTCTATCCCTATAAATGTACAAACTGTATTTGTATTTGTGCAAGTTCATAACCATTTGTACATTTATTATGATTAAATATAGGATCATTGATTGTATAAGTTCTTGGGTTTTTTACAACCAAAATATCTGGATTAACAGTATAAGAAGATGGCCAATTGTTACGATCAGCTTAATTAAAAACTGTAACTGAAAAGCCATGATTTGTAAAAGTCCTTTTAAAAAATGCATCATCAACCCAAGTGAATGGATAATTCGAATTATATATCTCATAATGTTAATCATAATTAACATAATCAGCACAATTAAATGGTTTTTGAATGCAACTTGTTGGAGTACCAACTATACAAGAAGATAACCAGTTATTACAATTTGAGTAATTAATGGTTATATTTTGTGTGTGTCGTACAAGTTTTTGCTACACATGAAGTAAAGTTATAATCACAATAGCCATTCTAATTGGAATATTCAATTATCTTAATTATAATACTAAAAACTCTATGATCCATAAGTCGAATGTTGTTGCAGTTAAGGGAGCATTTATCACATGTTCTTTATACCCATCCTTTAAATTTACTATTATATATTATGCATTGTTCATTCTAAGCAGCATATTATTCATAAGTAACATAATTTAAAGGAGCATTTTCACTTGTACACTGTAATTGTAACATCAGATCATTATGTTCTTTGTCTTTGTCTACATATTCCTCTGCAAATAAAGTATATCCTTAAAAATATTCCTAACATACTATGTCCGTTATTATATTTTGGAGCAGTTTCACATGAACCATTCATACATTTAAGATCAACCCATGCACATAAACCTAATTTTCGGTTACAATAACATTAAATATCAATTCTTAATCTTAATAATTGTATCTATTCACTTAACATCCACCTCTTGGATTAAACGTGCAATAAGAAAGTTATTCACAACATTAAGCATTTGTTTTGAATGAAACTGGTAGTTTATTGCTATCACTTGCATCAGTATATTATTAATCCCAAAAAAAATATCCTCCCTTTAGGTTTTATGCAAATTATGAAATTAATTTAGTGCAAGTATTTGAATTAGTTTCTTCGCTAATTGATTTGATTTTCACATCTTAATTGTCGTTTATTCCAAGTACAGGTTTCATTACAATAACAAGCATATTAATAAAAATGAGTAAATCTATATTTGTTGTATCACTTTAAACTACAAAAATACACATCAAGATAATTAGTGTTACTTATTTCATGCATATTATAATATTTATATATATAATTTAGTTTAGTTTTCTTAATTATTTTTCAATGGAAAAAAAGTATCACACAAAAGTAACAATAGAAGAACAAGCAAAACTTAGGGTTTACATTTTTTACTAATATCCTTAATTGAAATTGAAAAAACAAAAGAGTTAGCAATTCAAATACTGTCATGTTGCCTCTTTAAAGTTTCAAATAAAATTACCTAGATTTAAAAATATTGTATTATTTTAGTGAGGTTGCAGAAAGATTATAATATTAAAAACTTAATTTTTGCTTGGTTGATTAAAAACAAAAATAATCAGGTTTAAACTTGTATATGGGATTTTGATGGTATTGAGTGTTTAATCCAATACATCTTGCATAAGTAGATCCATTATATATACTAGATTTAAAAATATGAAATATTTTGAACATCTATTGAATTGTTATCTA